AAAATACCATATCGAGAGATTTGAATATCATTAAATCCCTAGTGTGAATACTTGGTGGTGGTCGGAGAGGCCCATGGTACAGATTGGCAGCCTCACCTCTGTCAGTGTACTCCAGGGCAGCTGTGACTACATAGAGCGTCACTTTGGGAGGCGTCATCAAGGCTGTAAAGCACTTCACTATTGTTATTATTGTACTTTAAACATGTAACTCACTACAACATTTATAGCCAAGACTAATTTGCGATGTGTGTACCCTTGGGGGGCTTACAAACAAACAAACAATGTTCACATTACAAATTTAGCATTATAAAATGACAAAACATACTATTATGTCATCACTTGAATGATTCAGCTGTTTTGGGGATATGTGTGATGGTGCATACATTTTAAAAGTACCAAACAACAAGCTTTATATGGCTTTAAGTTGCGCTGAGCGAGTTATACAGTCAAGACTGAACTTGTATTTACAGTAAGGCTTCATATGTAAATCGCCTGTGACATTTTTTTATGACGCATGCTGTTTGTCCACATGGTTCCAGGAGCAGGAAATCTGAAAACATGCTACAATTTGATCCAGTTCAGTCAGTTGAATTAACCACACATGACTTTCACGCTATACTGTGATATACTATGACTCATTTTGTTTTGCATAGGCTCTCATGCTGTAGGAAAAGCACCTAATAATCATGCACAACTTCAATGATGGGGCTGGTCTTACTCCTATTGCACACTGCATTTGAAGCCATTTTGATTGGGGGATTCTGCTGTGAATTGGCATTATGTGAGTCCCACTGTTGAATTTTGTTTGTAAAATGTATACATACATTGTGTGGTAGTTTTTTTGCCTTAGAAAATGTCATACTTTGAACAAAATGACAGACATACTATAATTGTTGGCAGATCAAATTACTCCACACCTGGTGCAGTCAGAACATTTCAGGCAAAACGATAACCTCATGGAGACAAACAGGTGGCAGACCCTCCACTCGGTACATAATTCCCCGTTAGTATATAAGTTGGAAGTTTGCTCTTGAGGTTTTTATAAATATATATAAAATCATTCTCTGTAAAATAACCCTGTAGCCTTCTATAGACTGTACTAGCTGTAGCAGAAAGTGTGCCTCAGGGCTACATCAATCCAAGCCTCAGAGGTCAGGACAGATAGAGAAAACAAACAGACACAAATGGAACAGGGATGTAAAGTCGGGGCAGAGAATCTACAGACATGGCACTATGAAAACTAGCCTAAGAAATGCACTACTTTTAGGCTTCAGTAATTAAAAGGGTGCAAGCAGTTAAAAGCAGCATTAGAACTTCAGCTTTAAGGAGAGATCATACAAGTGACCCTGCAGAAAATCAGTGTAGTGCAGTGAAGAATTATGTTGTCTTTTACTTTGATTATTTGTACAATTGGCAGTATCTTAATGGTTCATATTGGATCCAAAATCTGCCATTTTCCTGTGTGATTTCTTCATTGCAAGACTATCAAGAATACCTGGGAGGAGCATGGGGTATGACTCCAGTTATCAATGATATTATATTAATACAAAAACAATTTCCTTATCCATTTTAATTGACCAAACAGATATGCTTACAGAACACAAAACGTAATATTTTATCAAAAAGTGACCACAACTTTTTAAGCAAGACTATTTCCCTCTAACAACTTGAAATTCTTAACCACAGTATTTTAAATCTGTCAAAAATTCTTATTGCACAATACGCTGCACATTTTTTCTAAAAAATAAATGCTGAACTTTCTTACCTGCACCGCCATTAAAGATAACTCCATCATTGCAGGTGTATATGTGGCCAGCCTAGCGTGTCAAACCTGGAGCAGTGCGTGTAGACTGGGACTGAATCGATGCCAAAGACGAAGAGGTCTGAAGGAGGACTCCCGAGACACATCTCTTCCACGCTCCAGTGGACAGCTGTGGTGGTGGATGTGCCCCATAACCACACAATGAATGCTTTTTATGGTTCATGGAGTCAACGCCCCCACTTTCTCTCCTCTTCTCGTATAGATGTGTATGCTTAAATGTAAAAGGCAGAATTATTCATGCTGGTGGACACATTGCGTGAAGGGTCCTCCAACAATGCTGCTTGATGTACCATCTGTGTATTCTGCACAGAGACTCTGAAAAGTCCCAGACCAACTGTACTGTTTATTTGCAGTTTGGGAGCATTATTTTCATTTACAGTGTGGGTCCATCACCTGCTTGTTTCTATGGATACGTCATTGCTTTGTCTGGAATGTCCCACAGTATGATATTAAACAGTTCTACCTTACATTTATTCAATTACAGGTGGTTTTATAGCTCAAGAATACCTAGAAAAACAGGCATTCTAACTGAGAGCGGGGTCGCCTCTCCACAGATCTGACCTGTAACTTGGTCTGGTTTGGCCTCTATAAAGATAGAAAGATGTAATGCCAAACTGTGAAACATTCTAGACAAAGCAATAACATCTCTATGAAGAAAAGCATTTGATGGAGCCCCTCACCAGAAAAGTTACACAATGCATTTTTAAAAATGTGTAAAACATAACTAGTCGATTTTAAACAGTTTGAGACGGTCCAAAGTTATTCCTCACTTACCTCATGCACACTGAACATTCAAGTATTTACACTGATGAGATTATAAGTGCTTTTCACAGAGCTGAGATTTGCTGTGACAGTAAAGCTAACAACAGCTAGCATGCTAACACGCATTTCCTGATTATCGGACAAGAAAATGCCTAAACTGCGTGTGACAGATTTTTACATTTCTCTAATTTTTACTTAATTTGGCAGGATTATAACTGTTGTAAATATGAATTATAGTTTTACACCAATCAAGAAGCAGTTTGCAGAAAAATATGTTGAAAATTACAGGAAGTAGAGAGTTCAGACATATTTATGGCATCACACTACAAAGAATTCTATCCAAAATTTCGGCACAATTTACACATAAGAAACACAGAATAAATGTGTTTTCTTATAATAATTTCTGTGTACATTAGAGGAGTTTTGTGAGGTAACAGTTCTGTAATTCCTAAGTTTGATTACACAATTTCCAATCAGGAAGTAATATTTTAAATCTAAGAAATGACCAAATTGGGAAAACAAGTGTGAATGTTTTTACGCTGAGGTGTGATCAGGATCTGGACCGCGCCTCAACCTCATCTCCAGCCAACCATAGCTCATCTCAACCATGCCTTCAATTACCCAGAAGCCCTGTTTATACGGCCATCCCGACAACACCGTCTGTGTCAGCTCTCTCGACCCCCCTCCATGTCTCTCACCCATCTTTAAGCCTGAAGACATAATTTTTATGAAGGAGGGTTCTGAATCAGCTGGGTGACCATTTTGGATTGGACACCCTGAGTCTCCCCCCGGCCATCACATCTATCCACCGTCAACTTATCATAGGCACTTTAATCAGATGCCAGCAGCACACAGCAGACTTATTTTGACCTCAAAATCTTCTTATACAATATATTTGTTCTGGGACTCATTTTGGTCAAATACATGAAAAAAAAGGGAACAGAGCCTTTAATATCCATAATATTTTCTACTATCATTGGCATACATTGTGCCCACACGAACGGCCTGGCCAAACGTTCTCTCGCATGGCAGAGCAACCTACACTGAGCAGATGGTGCATTGCATTACAGTGTATGGAGAATGTAAGATTGTGGGTCACTATAAAAGCATTGCCCTCAAGGTATAGGGTAACAGAAAACATTCCTGAACTGAACTGCTGTTGGACAACCACTGTTTTTCATTTTACAGAAAAAAAGAAATAATAATAACTGTTCAATTCTGCTTTAAATTCTCTGTGCACAAAAAAGGCATGATTCAGTTACCAGCAGAGGGTGGACGTACTTGCCCTTTTCTCGGGTTTTATCTTGTTTGCCTTTTCCTCTGAACATTAAAAAGACTTTACCTGATGTTAAGCCATGTTTTAATTTGAAGTTTTAGCCCTGCCCACTGTGATATTGCTCCATTACACAGAAATAACTGTCCGGGGTAGTCTCATGCAGTTTCTGCTTAATAGTTTTACAGTTTCAATCAAGAGGTTGGGATAGAGTCAGGGAGTTGGTTTCCCATGATTCTTTGTAACAATATGCTTATTAAAAAAATTAAATAAAGTGGACCCAGATAGGTTTTAGAAAGTCACTTAATTTCTTACCTGCCTCCCTCAGGAGGCAGGTATCCATGAACTGTTTTAAAAGAATATTGTTAATGCCACTTCATCTGTTCTATATAGAAAAAAATATTTACACACAAGCATGGCGTTTTCCACATTGCTGCTCCATTTATTACTGAAGGATTACAGACATGAACCAGTGGTCATGTATTTTTATTTATTTTTGAAGTGCAATAAAAATGTGTCCATCATTGATGTTGTTGTTGTCATTGTAAATCCATGTTTGCACTTCCAGTGAGAGAGCCTCGTGTCCACACACACATAGCGTGTACAGTATGTGTCTGCAGTGTCACAACACAGTCTGTTGATGGTAAACCTCCATTGTTCTCTGGCCTTCGGTGCAATTAGTACTGCATGAGAACAGCTCCTAAAATAGTACAGGCTGTGCACTTCATGAGAAGGGTCCATGTAAGACTGCTGCTGTTACACACTTACAGTACAGTGCAGATGTGTGTAATGTGAAAGAAGCTGGCAAAGGTCCTGTCACAAGAAGTGTTGTTGTTCCACTGAATCCTCAGCCTGTTCTTGGACTGCTTTATCTGCCTCCTCAAACATTTGGTTGATGTAATGGCTCTTCAAACAAAAACAAAACAAAACTGCACAATGTTTTTGGCAAATTATCAAATAACAGTTAGAGATAACAATAATAAAATATTTAAATATAAAATGTTTCAATATTTTTCACCATGTTAAAGAAAGCATCTCATATCAAAATCAACATTAATTTCATGAGGATTTGGTGAATCCAGAAGTGCTAGCCTCTACATTTTCAGTGACAATATAAAGGAGAGAAAGGATTGAATTCTACAGTTACAATGGTAGAAAAAAAAAAACATTTTCTGAACCCAGTACAATGATTTCAATATTTTCTTGGCATATGAAGACTGTTTTCCTTTGTGGGTCACAGCTTACATAGTCTGTGCTTATCATACAAGTATAACAAACCAGTCATTCAACATTCTCCTGAGGAAATACCCAAAGCTCCCGAGCTCTGACGTGAAAGTCTTGTAGGAGTTCCATAGGTAATTGTGATGACTATCAGTGATGACAGTGATATGACTGAACACATGATGTGATCTTTTACTGTGTGACACAGTGGTTTCTGACAGCTACTACTGCAGCCGGTCCCAACAATCCTACAGTAGCTCCGACTAGACCCCCCACCACCGCGCCCAGGCCTATACCCAGTGGACCACAGACACTACCTGCACCTGCACCAACCGCCAGACCCACTTCAGCAGCGGTCAGAACTAAACCAGGGAAGATATATTTGTTCTTCTTCTCTGCTTTTTCTCTTGCCTGCATTTTATATTCATCTTCTAACTCTTTTAGTTTCATCTGTAGCTCCTGTCCTTTCAGGTTGACCTTTAGTGCTTCTTCATCCTTGCGTTTCCTTTCATCACTGTCTTTTAATAACTTCTCCATTGACTCTTGGACGGCTCTCTCGGCCTCCTGAAACATTTCATTTGTGTAGTAGCTTCCACCATTGCTTGTAACCATTCTTTCTATTTTCTCGAAAAGCTGTGGTACCTGGCTGCAGCTCCAGTCTTTATTGTTGAAGACATGATACCGACCATTGCATTCTTGGATTAATTTGGTGAGCTTTGGGCATTGACGGGTGAAAGATTCAATTGTCATGTTTCCCAGTTGATCTCCATAAGTAAAAAGAACCAGAGAGTAGTCTGCGGCTTTATCTCCAAACACCTGTTGGATGAGCTCCACTGACCTCTGTTCCTCTTCTGTAAACCGGTCCAACTTTATTATTATGAGGAAAACGTGGGGTCCAGGAGCAGACATGGAGATACAAGTCTTCAGCTTATGCACTACTTCATATTCTTTATATTTGGTGTCAAAAATTCCTGGGGTGTCAATGACAGCGATCCTCCGTCCATGGACTGTGCCTCTGGCCTTTTCACACTCAGATGTCACTGAACCTGGAGAGAGGACTGAAGCAAATGCATGTCGGTTGAGAAGGGTGTTTCCCGATGCACTCTTCCCATTCCCAGTCTTTCCAGTCAGGACAATACGAAGCTCCTCATCACGAGTCAGGGAGTCTTGGGAGACAGATGCAACTACAGAAGAGTTGACATATATTTGTTAATATACTCTTTCCAAGTAAATAACACAAGTTAAATATTGTTTGTATCTTTCAGTAGTCACCACAAAAAGCAATTTATGTCTCTACAACAATTTTTTTTTCATAAGGTATAAAAAAATATTTTAGACTCTACAATGCATATAATATGAAGTAACACACATTATAACTGCATAAGCTAAATATTGCTGCAGGTATTTATTTAAATAAGAAAAAGACATCATGAAAGTCATTATTCTGTTAAACATATAGCACTCACCCCTGGCAAAAGTTCTTCTTGACGGAGGAAATTTTGGGAACTGACGAATAGCGCGAGATTCCATGTTGCCAGACGTTCATTCATATGTCTTTGTTAGAGCAATGAGAACTGTTTCCTAGACTAAGTATCAGAACAGCTTAAATACATGTTTTACTTTCACTTTCAAGTGTGAAACAAGTTATGTGACATAGCTTACACAGTTACAGTAAGAAATTCATGCTTCTTGCTGGTAAATAAGATTTACTTATGCCAGTCAGACAACATTCTCTCAAATGTATAACAAACAGATGTTTAACACACACACCCTGCATATTCTTCTTTAGCTCTGCAATTACCCATATTTACTGAAAAAGGTAGCCGTTAACTTGAAAACTCCCTATACATAACATCAAAAGGTGCACAGAGCATTTTTATCTTTGGAGATGTAGACAGACTAAGAATTGCTCAAACATGTGTGAATGAAACAAAACACAACTTGAGGTATGTTTTTGAGAAGATAACAACATATAATATAATATCTTAAAGCTCTCAAGAGTCAATTTTATGGATAGGCTATGGATCAGATGGATCTTAATGTAAACTTAGAGGCTTAGGGACAAAGTTTTTTGTTTTTTTGTAATAAATTCTGAATAGGACATCTGGGGACAAAGACAAGTGTTCAAAAGAAGAGATAATACTATGACAAACATAAAAGCTACAGTGCTCCATACTGCCACCATGAATATAGGCTATCAGCTATAAAGTAAAGTCTATTCAACTTCTTATGTCAAATTTACTAATGCCATTTGATGACAATGCTTTTGGTCAAATATTGCCATCCAGCCTTGCAATTTACCTGATGTTAATTTGTAGTCAGTTGGCATGTGTTTCCAGTTCCCGCCACAAGATGGCAACAATCCATTTTTGCCTCAGATGAAACTGAAGACGAGGGTTTACTTCCGCTGGGCTAATTTTATGAATGACTCTAACTTCCCCATAATTGTACCGGTTAAAGCCACCAGCCACCGCCTTTAATTGTGTCCAAATGGATTATACAGCGACTCAAAGTGGGTTCAGACAGCGTAAGTTACGTACGTGACTCGATCCAATCAATGGGTGATTAAATGTAAAAGCTGATGCATGCGGCGGAGCGGATCGTGCAAGCTCCGAGTCTCCAGCATCTAAAGCAACGAGCAGCGCTTAGCATGTTGTTTTTAGCTCCCCCAGGCTAAAAACGTGTTCTAACTCATGACTCTTTACTGTAGCCATGATCGTTTACATGTAAACGCTTTATTCAACTGTACTAATAATTAGGACTAACTTACTAACGCAAGCTTTTGGGGGGGTTAAAGTGTTATGCTCTGCAGCTAACATCAAAGCTAACTAATGCTATCTGACATAAATTTCTAAATCACTGCACTTTACTAACTTGTTGGTTGATGGTTGATGTTACTAAAAGTGTCCAATTTTATTCTCAAGTAACATTCAAAGAAGTATTATTTGGGAATTCAGCTATACCAACTGGTTCCTTTGGTCTGTCACTGACTGAAAATAGTTCAGGGCGGTCTTGTTTCCTACTATCATTAGCTTTCAGTGTAAAGGTTAGATTATATAAAGGACTGGTCTCTTGTGTCTTTTCACACGCCACTCTCGGAGGCAGGATCTTTAGGTGAAACAATGCGATAATCTTATTAAGCTGTGTTATTGATATTTATAACAGCTGTTTTCTCTTCTCTTAGTCTTAGGATAGATAGATAGATAGATAGATAGATAGATAGATAGATAGATAGATAGATAGACTATGAGACTATGACTATCTATCTATCTATCGTCATGATTGTGATTCTTGGTGGTGGATAGTTTCTTTGTAAGTCAAGATAAGAACATATTTATATCCATGAAGCAGCTTGAAATAAAATACAAATGTATACATTTCCAAAATAATCGCTTCTCTTTAAAAAAAAAAAAAAAAGGCAAATTACACTAATAATTGCATTTGCTTTGCTATTTTTGCTTGATTTGCATGACTTGTGTATATGATGTGCTTGGCCTAATAAACCTGTATTTAACTTTTTATACAGAGCCCAACATACGTGCACGGAATAGTTCAATGGAAATGTCAGATGCCAGCCAGCTGTTCGAAGATACAAGTGGAGCTGGCCATGGGTCACAACCAGGTTACAAGTAAGATTTCTTCACCACCTGAATATTGTTTTGAATGTATACATTCTTTATAAATTAACAGTATATATAAAATGTATTATTATTCTTTAATTTTATTTATTATCTGTTCTTTTCAGACATCAGACAGGAGACCAGGGTGCAGGATTGCCTGGATTTTCTGACCCCATGTCAAACCTGGCCATGGCTTATGGCAGCTCACTGGCATCACAGGGAAAGGAGCTGATGGACAAGAATGTACGTCACATATTCATCTGCTTTTTGTGTGATTTTTCTATATCATGCAACATCTAAATCTTTTTTTCTAACAACGCACTGTATGTGTTTTTATAGCTAGATAGGTTCATTCCCATTTCCAAGCTCAAATACTACTTTGCTGTGGACACGGTCTATGTGGGAAAGAAACTTGGCCTTCTCATTTTCCCCTACATGCATGAGGTATGTTCTTTCTCTTTTGTATTCTGTAGTGTGTTGATGTAATCATGTAACTGAATATCTAATACAACTCATTTCTTTTAGAACTGGGAGGTGAGCTACCAGCAGGACATCCCTGTGGCTCCACGCTTTGATGTCAATGCTCCTGATCTGTACATTCCAACTATGGGCTTCATCACATACATACTGGTGGCTGGGCTGGCTCTTGGCACACAGAACAAGTACAAATCAAATATTTGTTATGCAATCTACCCCTTTTTTTGACTGAGTTGAAATTGATAATTCTTACCTTTTCCGTTGTCCTCAGATTCTCTCCAGAGCTGCTAGGAGTGCAGGCCAGCTCAGCATTTGTGTGGTTAGTTATGGAGGTGCTAGCCGTTCTTCTGTCCTTGTATTTGGTTACTGTAAACACTGATCTTACCACTATAGACCTGCTGGCTTTTGCTGGCTACAAATACGTTGGGTATGTCTACTTGCTTTATTATTCCTAAGCCATTGTCAGTATTAAAAGCCAGATCTGACATGCATTTTTTTTTTTTTTTTTTGTATTTCAGGATGATTGTTGGTGTAGTCTCAGGCCTGTTGTTTGGACGACCAGCGTACTACCTTTCTTTACTCTGGTGCTGTGCGGCAATATTTGTATTCATGGTAAGTTGTGGCCTGTAAAAAAATAATTTCAACTTACCCATTTTATTGGTCATTCTTTAACTTAAAATCACTTAATCTTTTTGTTGGCTTCTATTTACTGTTTGTGTAAGCAACATAAAATGTTCTCACATAAACAATCCTATTCATCTGAGGCAAACTGATTCTTTAGAATCCAGAGAACTCGATAAACTCTGCCGATATTTCTTATTTTCATGGAGGGCAAATCTAGATATAATTTGAATTTACTATAACCTCATCCATAACCCTATTTTACGATCACACCATCGCTTTATTTAATTGTGTCTTTTATCTAACAGCAACTGACCCATTTTAATTTGTGAAAAACACATGTACAGAATTGATGTTATACATTGTAACCCTTATTTTTTTCCTCTGCAGATCCGTACTCTGCGATTGAAGCTTTTATCGGAGGCTGCGGCGGAGGGCAAACTGGTGAGAGGAACAAGAAATCAGCTGAGAATGTACCTAACCATGGCCATAGCAGCACAACCCATCTTCATGTACTGGCTCACCTTCCACCTGGTCAGATAAAACCACCTGGGATTTATATCTGCACTTTTACATGAATAAAAGTGTTACTATGAACTGGCGGCCCAACTGCGACAAATCTCCTCAAAGGAACTACAACAGATTCTGAGTTGTCTGGAACCCTCCTCACTACTCCCGGACCCAAGAACATCTGATCTCAATGTTTCTGTGTATGTAGAAAACTGCACGCACAAGATTAGACAAAATGGGACACATGATTTCTGTTATGCCATAGCACCGTGTCTCTAGTATTGACTTGTCTTATTGTTATGTAGCAAGAGCTTTACATGTTTTCTATACTGTGTAATTACTGTTTTTTAAGATTATTTATGTATTTTTGTTTGTATATCTGATAAGGACGTCAACTGAGCCTGCTAAAGAAGCACATGAACCTCAAAGGCCACAGTTCAAAGTTATAGATAAGATAGGGCTAATTCTGGTTGCATTTTAACATTGCTATCAGTTTTTATGTGCTTTTTGTCTGAAATACAGTCTCACCATTAAAAGACACAGAGGCACTTGAATGGGAAATTTAATTGGGGAAATTATTGGATTGAAATAAAGAAAGGGAAGGTAGTTGATCAAACTTGTTGAAACGATTTAAGTAAGATATGCAAAAGCATTCATGTACTGTTGAAGCACAGGGGTTTATTTTAAGTAGTGCAATATTTGCTCTATGTTTAAATACACATGCAAATGCATACTGCGGACTGAAGACTGAAACAGGTTTTTCCATTGTCTTAACAAGTTTACGCCCGGCTAATGTTTTTCTAAACATGTTTAAATTAAAATGCACTGAAGTGACTCTCAGAAATGGGTTCTCAGAAATAATAAAATATTTGAGACTAAGAAACATTTTGTGTATTTTTGTATTATTTTTATCTGCCACATAAGACATTGTCTTCAGCCTTCAACAGTAAATTCAGAATAGCTCCCAAGTCATTCAAGCATCACTGTTACAATCAAACCACTGTGATGTTGCTACATCCTGAACTAAAATTTTACAGAACAAAAGAAACAAATATTGGTTATTTTAACACATGCAGCAAACAGAGCATGTTAAGTAATACATTTAAAATAAATAAAAAGTGATATTTTACACATTATTACTAACTGCGGTAAAAAGACGATCAACAAATGTGGCAGTGCTTCAGTAGTAAATAGTAATAATATGTTATCGGTTGCTTGGATGAATAGGCAGATTTATGCATTGTGATGTGGACTACTCTTTCCAAAAGCCTCTGTTGTGATTGATGGCCTGAATGAGCCGGGCCTTCATGGTTCTTTCCACAGGGTATCTCTGGTACAGGGGCAGGTGCAGCAGGGTGTGGCAGGTGAGGGCTCCTGGGATATGATATTCTGTACCTTCTGGCATCACAGTAATGGTCATCTTTATGCTCTTCATCCCCATAAAGGGCACATGGCTGTAACCTGTTACAAACACTGGGCACAGAAAGACAGAAATCATTCAGTCTACATAACTCAGAATGCACCAACAGATTTAAATCTTGAACTCTAAAACAGGATTAAGACACAACTGTTTGGCCTTAGTAGATTTATGTCACTTACAAAAGAAGCCCTTCTTTTGCTCTTCTGTCAGTTCTCCAAAAACTTCCCAAAACGTAACAATGGTTGGATGATCAGCATGGTACCCTCCTTGATAGACTGTGTTCTGCATACAATATGCATAAGAGGTTACAGACTGAAATGGCACTTGATATTTTACAAGATAATTTTTGACAGTGCTACAATTACAGTTGCTTGTTTAGAAAAAGAAACTTGTTCATGCAGTATATTTGATTTATTAACTGTATTGGTGATTAAAATGTGTCTATTTCATATTAACTATTTGTTCAGGTAATAGAAAAACACAAGTGTTGGTATTAGTACCTGCTTAAAGGTATCCCAGTCCCAGGACTCCTGTCCCAACATCACGTCCTGCAGCTCCTGAGGCTCAAACAGGTCCACCACTTTCATATCGCACACTTTGAAAAACCCTCTCTCAAAGGCTTCATACACTTTAGTCACGGACGTTTTGAAAGCATAGTTGATGAAGCTGTCCACAAACTCTTTTCTACAACAAACACACATCTTTTAACTTACTTTTGTGGGACAATTATATTCATGAGTTTCATCCTGTTGTAAATGGCATTTTGAGGACTTTTCATCATTCAAAAGATGTAAGTTTTGTTTTTAATTGTCAATTACTATGACAACAGTGCACATTTTCCTAATTCTGAAACCCATGGATATGTTATAATTGTAAGGTAATTGTTAATCATTTTGAAATACTTATTTGAATTTGTGACAGGTTTTCCAGGTTCATTTGGATCAAGCTCCGTTACTTCATCTCCCCAATTTACCTTGAAAAAGATAAATATTTACATATACTTACAGAAAAAAATTTATTACGTAATTTGTTGTGAAAATAAGAACATACGGTAAAAGTTAAGTTCAGACTTTCAATCACATCAGGTGTGTACTCCTCCAGGATGCACTGAAATGACCTATAATGTAAAATGACAATCAAATTACTCTTACTACTTAGATGCACACTGTTGCTGTAAAGTGTATTTGTCTAACTCACCGGGCCATGATAGGCTCAAACTCCTTCATGTCCTCCAGAGAGGGCTTGATTCGGAGGAGCTTCTTGAAGAGGACCAGAGGGAATGGCAGGTCGATGATGTTCAGATTATAGAGCGCCAGCCCACACAGAACACCAAACACATAGTACTGCGCCTCTGACACCTGCGGCTGAAAGACATGAACAGATAAAAAATATACTGAGTTATGTTTTCATTCTGTTGGTGGTTTTCAGATTTAAGAATGTTTTTTTGTGTTTGTTTTTCCCATTAATTACACTGTACTTTGCCATGAAATATTGGAAAGGTAAGGTCCCATGTGGAACCTGATCATTTCTATTACTGAATAGACCCAAGACCATGCTATATTACAACAAAAATCTGCAGTTGAACAATATTTATTTTAGGTGCCCCCGTCTATATTAAATAATATTGACCTCGAAAATGCCGTCATGTCTTGAAACCCAGCAATAGGTCAATATAGTTTAATGCAGATGGGGGCAGACATCATCACGTTCATGTTAGGTCTCTAGCTCTGAATATTGGTCGTAGTATGTATCTATACCTATTCTATGATTATTAGACTGTTTGTTTCCATGGAGATGTTATTGCTTTACTTGATATGTTCCAAGGTATGGTATTAATGTCATAATTAATTATGGCCATGCAAGGTGACACTACCACACCAAGTTACAGGTCAGATCTATAAAGAGCTGAGGTCTCACAGTAAGATCATGGCAATCTAGTAGATTCTTCACACAATAGTATGTACAAGAGTTATGAAAGTATAGAATAGACCTGCACAGTTTAAGGTTAACTGTGAACAAAGTATTCCAACATTTTCAAAGCAACAAAATGGACTGATTAAACTTACCTTGGGAGGAAACCAAAACAGAGTCTTGCTGTCATTGTGCATGAACATGTCAAACTCTGGAGTCATCAGTTTGTCAAAAATGTGGAGAAAAAAATCCCTTCTATTCACAAGGGTGGGCGTTCTATTATCCACAAATTGCACCTGGAAAAGACAAGAGACTATAAAGATGTCCTTTCTGACTTCTTATCCTTATATAATAAACAGGTAACAGGACAGTAACTGAATCTATCAATCTATCAGTCACTTTTTAGTCTTTGTTAATCATCTTGTCAAATTTAAAATAACATAATTGTGTTGCTCAAATTAAGAAATAAAATATTTCATTGGTAGATAATATTACAAATACAATTTACAAATCAAAACAAATTTACTCAAATCAAGATAATATGTTCCTAAATTCTAAAAAGATCTAGAAAAAAACAAAAAAAAATTTTGCCGTGTCGGAGGAATGAGGGAAACCTAGGGTAAGATTTCTGAATGTATTGAGGACATAAAGTAACCATCTGTAATTAGATTGGCTCCTGTTTTATTCTGTACCTGTTGTACATTTCCCCACTAGATGCTACCTATGTTATTGCTGTTTGATGGTGAGCCAGCTCTGTCCTGACAGAAGAAGACCAGGCTAATTCTGGACAATTTACATTGTGTGTTCATTAATATGTATTGTTTATTTAATTAAATAAATAAATATAAAATTGGTGAAAAAAGCTTGTACCTTTAAGCCAGGCAGGTCCAAACTATGGCACGTGGGCCAAATGCAGCCCTCAGACAAATTTTTCTTGTCCCTCAGGCTTCCGGGTGAATTGGCCCAAGTTACCATGCATCAATTAAAATTTTACTTTTTACTGCAAGTTTTTTGAAAATCTACCTTGATAAAGTGAATACTTAATGTTTACTGTGTGGTTTTAAGGATCTTAGCATGAATAAAGATCATGGCTCATTCTAACATGTTAAACTGCGCATATTTTAATTATTCACGGTATTGAGCACCAGTTTGCGGGCCTCGATCGGCCCTCTGCTTCATCTGCGTTTAGATATGTGGCCCTTGATGAAAAAAGTTTGGACACCCCTGCTTTAAGCTGATAAAGTAAAGAACTAAGGGTGTCCAAGCGGTCACACATATGCTTGAGTCTGGCTCCACTCACTGGCTGGAGGAGGTATTACAATGCTCCTATGATTACCACAAGTTCTCTTTTGAAGGCGTCCTTGTCCGCTGCATCAAGCTGTCTGAAGGTGTCCTCCACCAGGTGAGGTCGTCTTAGGGTCAGCTGAAAGACCGGGGCAGGAGCAGAGTCTGACCAATCTCGAGACCCCCACTCAGGTGACCATGCATACAGTTCATATGCAACTTGGTGGAATTCCTAGGATTACATTGTCATTTAGATAAGAGCATTACCTGATTACTATGTACATTTATTTTACTTTTTATATAATAGGTACCTTTATTCTGGTGGTAATCATTCTGAAGACGGCAAGCTTGCAGATAAGAGGAAGCACAAAAGGGTAGTTGCAGAAGCTGACAGGTGTTGCTTTTGGGTCATCCTAAAATTGAGCATAAAATCAAATTGGGAAGACCCCCTTTTGCTCTCCACCTCTATAATCTCTCAATCACTGCTGTATCTATTAAGATTAATATATTGTTAGGAATGTGCACTATGTGTTTTACCTTTTGCCCAGGAAAGTTAAGCCAAATAAGCACATCTTCCTCTGGATGACAGCAAAGTATAATTTCTTCAACGTAAAAAGTGCTGAGTGGGACCTTGTAGAGCTTTCCAGATTTGTTTGCCTGTCAACAAAAGAAAAAAAAATGTGGTAATTAATATTTAAAATAGAATCCAACATGGAAGTAGATCTATGTTACAACAATTTTGTCTTTATTTGACAAAGGAACATTTTGTTTTATCTAAACTGACAATTTTATAGTAACCCTGCCTCTGTGGAAATACTTTGTCTCTGACCTTGAAGAGTAGTTGGAGAACCTTCAGCAGGTACTTGACCCCAGGGTTGTGGGTCTGCAGAAGGCCATTTTTCAACATAAAAGCGAGTGCATTTTTGAAAGCCAAAATGTGCTTCATCAGAATTGAGGGAGAAACTGAAGACCACCACTTTCCTGAAAAAGAAAAAAATGAATAAAAAATGTATCCCACATGCTGACTCTTAAATATTATAGTTATGTAATAAATGGTGAATTACTCAGTTGTGATCTAGTGCTCTCTTGTAAATCATATATCATGATGGCCAATGGCAGCACCACATTCATGACAACTGAATCCTCCTGTAGCACTGGGCAGGTCAGCACAAGCAAGATGACCTCTGGAGATCTTAGAACAAGTCTTGAATTCAAGAGAACATTGATCAGCATCTTAAACTTCATCTGTAAAGTAAATATGGAGATAGCTCTTAGGCACCGTGAACATGAATATACATTTTACAGTTTTAAGATAAGGATTACTAACTGAATTTTTGATCCAGGGTATTGCCACCATCTTATCAAATGCTTTACTAGCTCTCTCCAGATCCACAGTTAGGCTTCCTGCTTCAATCACAGAGCCACTGTCAAATAATAAATGCATAAATTAACACAAGCATAACAAACTGTAGAAAGTAGATCCACTTATGTGCTTACTCAGCCTTTGTAAAGCTTGCAACAAGACTTGAACATGTGAAAAACATCTCCATAACGTCTCTGGTGAAGACATAACATATTTTAGTAATGTCATGGAATGAATCTGATATAATGTAGTTGTGTTGTAGCATAAATACTTCTCTATATCTTCACTCCTTTGACATGTTGATAACCATCCTTTCAGTTTTGCCTTCTCAAGTCGCCCATTTATTGAATTTACGCTTGGGCTCTGATGAAAAAACATTATTTAACACATTTTGTAAAACACACTGATATTACACAAGACTACCTGAGAGTTGTAGGAAAAATTTGTGTTCCAACCAGCTGATATTTTCAAGTCTGAGGGCTCTACACCATCTCTTGTTAGCTGAACTTCAACAGGGCTCAGGCTGCTCTCTGATTGGTCATTTCCGATCTGACCTTTGGCCCCATCGCCAAATGCCCAAAGCTGACCAGAGGAGCTCAAAACCAAAGTGTGACGTCTAAGAGAAAAAAAATGTTTAAAGCGTTTTCTTAATCTTGAAAGACAAATGTTTAGTGTTACTTTACTTTCCACAGGCGATCTGCGAGGCGCCATCCAAACCTTCCACCTGTTTAGGTCTCAGCTCATTGGTTGTAGAGTTATGCCCCAGCTGACCGTGAGCACCATGTCCAAAAGTGAAAACTTGGCCACTCTATCAACCCATGTGATTGCCGTAAACATCAATTAATTGATCATTAGTAAATCATCAGTGGCAAAATTCATTGCCTTCTTTATAATACAGGATTTTGAAAATGCTTTGTGCTAATAATTGTGAAAGTATTTTTGTAGTATTATAATTATTAATATTAAAGATATTTTTATTGCTTGTATGTTTTTATTCTGTTAAGAGCAATGAGAATTAAATTTACCTTGGTTAAAACTGCAGTGTGTGCTTCTCCACAACTTATAGAAGACACACCAAGAGGTCGCAGGGCAGGTACGACACAGATGTTGAATCTCCCTTGATGACAAAAACAGTACAGTTGTGAATATTTCAACCTGGAGAGACTCAGACACAAAGAGAAAGTATTCGTAGTTTTACTGAATGACCCTGGACACGAGATGTGATAGAGATGAGGTGATAGAGATAGGGCCTGGCACAAACTGAAGCAACCGTGCACCTGCAATGGGGGTTTAATTTGGGCAAACTGGGGGCTTATTGGATGAGGAGGAGGTGCAGCAAACAGCGAGCAGGAGTAATGGAAGTGAAGTGATTAGGGCTGAGGAGCAGGTAAACTCTGAAGAGGTGGTGAGCTAGACGAGAGGGAAGTTAGGTCTTCGAGGCTGAATTTACGCCAGCTCCATTTCTGCGTCAGGCAACTCTGTTACATTTTGAATCCTGGATTTGACTTGGAATACGTTTTTTGTTCCAAAAGTAATAATTGGATAAAATTGACAATTTTTTTTTTTTAACTTAAATCCTGCAGCCTTGTATTTGTAGTTATTGTACCTTTCTCATCCACCCGGTTGAGTCCGAGTTGCCCCACGTCATTTGCCCCGCAGCAGTACACCAGGCCGGGCAGAGTGAGGAACATTGAATAGTTGGATCCAGCTGAAATCACCCTCACAGCAACTCCATTTAGTGAATACACCAACAGAGGAGAGCACTGCAGAGACTGTCTTCCCCAGACCCAGCTGACCATGGCTGTTCAAACCCCAGGAAAACACATCACCACCTGTGAAAGAGACGTAGGCTGTTCATTTAGTCCTATGTTTTTGATCTGAATATGTTAATTACTTACTTTATTTTTTATCTCAACAATATGTGCCTTAAGCCAATAAAATGTTTTAGCATTAACATACAAAAACAAACAAACAAAGATTCACTCTCACATTCATTCAACAATTTCTAACTCACATTCTTTTGAACAGTGGGAGAAAATCATGATAACACAGATATATGGGCTGGCTTGAAGACCCACCAAGAAAGAAAGATACAATACAATACAATACAAAATAGGAGTATTTTGGTGCTTATGTAAATCATTAAACTGTGCCAGCATGAATTTCCTTTTGGCACAATCCAAGATATTAAAACTATGGTTTGGTTTAGAATGGCAATGACCAAATCTTTGCATGTAACACAGGGAGGTATTTGCTCTAATTAGGTCACAATAGCTTTCCTTTTACCTTTAGTTAAAGCCAAAGAATGGGATCTTCCACAGGCCACTTGTATCACTGGTATTGGCAAAGGCATGGGCACAGGACTACATATAAGAGAAACATTTTAGATGGTACATTATGACAATTAATAATGTATATGTAACAGTCCCACTGCCATACCAGGGCTCGTATCTGTCGCCCAGTTCATGTGGTGAGATCCCCAGCTGTCCATCATCTCCTGCCCCCCAAGAGAACATTATCCCAGAGGCACACGCAACCAGACAGTGGTCCTGCCCACACGCCACTGCCACCACCTTAGACAACTCCTGTATGCGCTCTTCACCAAAAATATAAAACAATTTAAAACTAGAAGGCCTACATAATAAAGAGCCAGTTATTCAGTAGAGTTACATTTCCTCATTAGATGCTTACATTTTTAAGAAATTATACTTTTCAGAGAGCTATAGTGTGTTTAATTGGAGTACTCTTACTTGAATAAATGTTTTTTTTATCTGCATGAATTAACAGGAAACGAAACTGAAACTTAACCAGGTAAAATGGGCTTTAATTACAACATAGAAAACAGAAAACTGTTAAGGAATTAATAAGGAAACATGTAACTCATTAAAACTGTCTAAAATGCTCAAATATTTAATAAGTCAAAGTTATAATAGGCCTAATATTGTATGACATGTTTTATTATTTCAACGTAATAACAGCATTACTTTAACTTAACTTACCAATCGGATCTCCCTTTTTGCTTATCTTGCGGCCCAATTGTCCGTGCGTGTTGCGTCCGCAGGATAAAACATCCCCATTTTGCGTTAGAAATAAGGTGTGCTCCTCTCCACACGAGATTTTAGAAATAATTTCGGGAACATTCCAGGACATGGGACTAAACACGGTCTGTCTGAGCCCGAACTGCCCACTGGAGCTGTCCCCCCAACACTGCACCTCCATGTCTTTACCTGGACCACAGCGGAATGGCACCCACAATATTCTGTACTTGAGTCTCGTTTCTCCTTAAGTTTTGTTTTGACTTGTGGGGCGTTCAAAAACAACCCGCTCTTTTTTTCCCCGCGGTGTGTAAAAGGTATGGGATAAATATTATTAAATTGCTCACAAAATATTTTAATTTAAGCAGATCTAAGTGATCAAGTTTTTCAAATTCGAATAATTTAACTAGGCTTATAGAAAATACTTATGCGTAACTATTTATAGCCTTGCCGTTTTGTAAAAAGCAAAATTTCCCCAATGACCATGAAGGCAACAGGGTTTCGAGGATAAAGAAACAATTTCAGCACATCTCTCCCTTAAATGTATCATGTTTGTTAATGTCATTTATTTTTTTATGTTTCTGTCCATGATGGTATTACAAAATCTGTAAATAAAAGGACAATATTAATATAATAGGAATACTTTGCTCATATAAAAAAAAAATTAGTTAGTTTGTTTACCAAGCATTCTTCTTCACATTCAAATTTACACCTAACAGAGATATAGAGATATAGTAAGGTTTTACAAACAGAAAAAAAAGTAAAACAGCTTTTCTTAGGACCACTGAATGTTTGGTGTTGTTAGAGGCAACCATGTTCTTGGAGCCTGATCTATGGGACATTTCCTCAAATGTGACTTCTCTACTCTGCTTATAGACTTCTCTCCATTAAAAGAATACACTCCAACTGCACCATCCTCAAACCCCACAGCCACAGAAAGGTCCCCGATCACAGCTAAACTTAATGGACTTTTAGGAAGATACAGACTACCCACTGTGCTCCCATCTTCCAGCCGAATTACAGAGAGGATTGGCCTTGTGTGGAGAAAGCACTCACAGTTACTTTTTGGTCTTGAACAACAGATAACAAAACATCCAGATGAGTCCAAACATGTTGTTATGACATTCCCACTGGTTTTAATGGAACACAGCTGGAATTTTGACATATCTAAAACAGTGAGTGTTTCATGATGAGTGGACAGTAATGTGTAGTTTCCATTGCCTGACATTTTGAAATTATTTGGCAGGGAATTGAATGGTATTTTAAAGTGCCTGCAGACAGTTTCCTCAGCTACATTCCATGTGTACAGTGACCCTGAAGTGAGTAGGACTATGACAAAGTTTGGATGATTTGTAAGAGTTTGAAATCCAATGATCTCTGAAACTTCATCACAAGAAAAACGCTTGTTGATGGAGCCAGACCATAAATTAGCCGCGAGCAATTCTCCACGGTGACGACCAATTAGGAAGGTGCTTTCAGCTGATATCTGGGCATCTGATAGGTAAAGATGTATTGTGCAAATTGTAGCACCGCTCACAAGCTTCCACACATGGGATAGGCCATGTTCACTTAGACTTACCCCAAATTTACTATTAGGGGTGATCAAAATGTCTGACACTCTGCTACCACCTACTCGCACAATGTTCTGGCCACTTCCTGTTTGCCAAATGTAAATATCCTCAGATGAGAGAGTGACAAGATAGGCATTATTGGGAGAAAGACGCATTTTTTCAACTGGATTACAATGTAAAACATGCGCACAAGGTTGTCCCATCTCCACAGTCCATTTCCAAACTGTATCAGACCCATCGCTCGTAAAGAGACCATTCCCATCTCCTTCAACAACAACTTCTTTCACTCCATAAGCCATTTTGCAAGCGATGCCAGCAATGTGAATCATTTCTGAATCCCATAATGCAATGCTGCCATCGTGGTTGACGCAAACTATGTCAGATGTGGTTTTTAAAAGCCTATGAGGTACCCGAAATGTTTCTAAAGGCAAAATGCAATCGCCGGTACTAAGCTTCCACACAAGAACAGATGAGGATGTGTCTAGTAAAGCAAGTAGAAAGTGCCCATCTTGTGATAAAAGTGCATGTTTAAAGGCCTTTTGTTTTGGAGCTAGGAATTGGTCACTAACTTCCCATTCACACGTATCCCATAGTGTTATCTGTTTTGCCTGACACACCAAAAAAGCATGCGTTTCACTGGCATAGTCTGTATTAAGAATATTATTTGATTTTGCTTTCAGGAATGTTTCTTTCACAAGGTTGGGCTGTTCAGTTGAAACATCCCATAGAGTTGTACAACCAGTATTATCAATGCAGCCAATTCGCTGTTTTTTGCAACATACAGTGATTGATACAACTGTTTCTAGCTTGGAGTTGGAACAAGTCTGAAGAAGATTTGTGGTTTTGATATCAAATATTGACAATGTGCCTTTGTCATGACCACAAACCAGCATGGTAGAAGAACAAGCAACACAAGTAACAAGATTCTGACAACAGAAATGGTTCAATATGCCATTTGAAATTTTGTAAACACTCACAAAATGCTTGCCTTTCCACTGGATACATAAATTTTCCTGACTTGTAACAATATTTTCAACTTCTTTTGGTGTTTTGTTTGAATCTTTGACTTCAAGCAAAACATCTGTTCCAGTGACATCCCATAAGAAATGCTTGTGGCTAAAAGAAGATAGTAAAATGAGATGGCCACTGCTGTGAAGTCCTCCAAATGTAATGTCTCCATTTTCACTGCTCAATGTGAGTTTGAATAGCTCATTTGCATTGCTTTTACAAACCCAAACTGAACCATCACACATAGTTAGTACTACAGTCCCACATTCAGTTGCAATTGCGTCTCTGAGACTTCTGTCTTCAACTTGTGACTTTACACATTTAAAAGCATGAATTGTGGACGGAGCTGGGTGAAGTAAGACGCTTACACCTCTCTTTTTTCTCTCTTGCTGTATCGCATTGGCATAACCTTCAAGATTAGGGAAAATGCTCTTATAAGGCAAAAGCACCAATTCCATCACTGAAGGTATCTCCAAGGGAAAGCTATTCAAAAAGCAAATAGATGACTTTAGAATGTTTGCCAAAAGAGGGTGTTCTTTGCCAAATTCTTCATTCCTTTCCAACATGGCTACCAGATCTACAACCAAATCAGATCCAATCATTGCTTGCTGAAATTCAAGTGTCAGTACAAGTTTGCGTAGTTCCTCAAGTTGGCTACTTTCTCTCAAGTGATACGGCAGCTCGAGAATCTTTTTTAAGTTTGCATTACCAGTTTCTTTAGAGGAAGACATGAAGAAAAATGGCTGACTGGATGGTTGCCTGTCTATGTATGGTTTGGCATCATTATTGTCTTGATTTAATGGTTTAGAGCATCCACAAGACCACCTGCCGCTAAAATAGTCTGCCATATCTGAATGAAACTCTCTTCTTGCAGTTGGAGAATCTAAATATCTCTTTGTTATGACTAACCCAAAGTGCCTGGAGATCCAAAACAGAGCCACTGAGCCTGCGACTGTCCTCCTAAGTAGAAAAGGCTGGAGATCTAGGAGGACTTTTTCCACATCAACCTGGGGGACCCTCATCTTAGGCAAAGGGCAGTGAGAGAGTTTCGTGTAGTGAGCTAATATTTTGTTATCATTAGACAGTAGATCCGTTAGCTCTGCCTCTGTGAGTCCAGTTCTAGAAAGGGTGAGGTAGCAGACAGCGTGAGACACCAAAGGGGAGCCATGTTTCAATTCTAGATGGTCCAGCAGTGTGGAGATAGCGGCATGAACTCCATCAGGGAGGGTTGACTCGCTCACCTCAGAGTCTACAAACAAGAAATGCAGCTAGTCATCATTTAGTAAAGCAAATGAAAATTTCCTTTTGGGTAATTAAAGTATCTATCTGTGTATGTATCTATCTATGCATTTATCTATCTTAGGGTGACCAGAATTTCAAAATAAAAAAACTGGGACATCCCTATTTTTTTGGTGGTTTGCTAATAATAAAATTGTGAAACAAGTGCATAATTAAGGAAAATTCTTAAGCAGAGACCATTCAAGACTAACATGTGAATACAGTATAGTCACATTTTCTTTGTGTTTTGGTAGTTTTTAAGCAACTTTTTTGGATTTTAGCTAAACAAATCACAATTGATGCCTCTCTTTACTGTTGGCAGGGATAAACTGGACAAAATAGGGTCAACTGTAACATTTCTTGTGTAAAACTGGGACAAATCAATGGTTTTGGGTATATCTGCTGGGACAGGGGATACAGGGCTCAAAACTAGGACCGTCTTGGGTGAATAGGGATGTCTGGTCACACTAATCTATCTATCTATCTATCTTAATTAATACTCTGATTCCTAAAGTGTCCCCTTATTGAAGTAGTCACTAAGCTTAAAGTGTGCTATTATAAGATTTTACCTATTATTATACTGTTACTACTATTATTGTTTAGGAAATAGAAATTAGGAAACTAAAATAATTTTTTACTGCTAAATTTTGCACATCATTCTGTCGTAAAACAAAAGAAAAGAAATGACAGTCACATCTTTGTCCTTTTAACCCAGGACAGCTTTGGTGTGTTTACAACTCATAACATATGTATCAGTGTTTCAGCGTGTTCTCAAATTTGAAGTGATTTTCAAACTGTAATATCACACCTACCTGACTGCCAGAGTGAAGTTAGCTTGTGCAAAAGACGGACATAAAGCGGCAGACAGCATGTAGCAAGTGCTTGGTTCACTAGGGCTTGTTGTCCAGACGTTATCCTCCTCCCGGACGCAGATAACAGAGAAGTCAGCATCTTCACACTCTCTTTCCTGTTTGGTGGACCTAACTGTAAACTGAACAACTCCTTACCAGCTTCAGACTCAGAACTCAGAGTGCACTGTGGGTAGTGTAGTTCAACAGCTTGTTCTATATGTTTTTGTTTGGAGGAGGCTGTAAGGAGAAGTTTGACACTGGGAGGAAGTGGAAATGGAAGACTTTCAATAACTTGGCATCCATAGTCGTAGTCCATTTGATCCAGCCCATTGATAAAGATAACTAAAGGGTGTTTGGGAGAAGGCAACAAGGTCATCAGTGATAAAATGTGTTGTTTTTGCTCAGAAAGGGTCAGGTCAGAATCTGTGTAGACTCTATAATTCAGAAGATCTATGAGGGTTGAGCTGGTATGAGGAGCATCTAAAATATAATCTTTGGTACTGTGGTAACGTTTTGCAATTTGATAACACAAGCTGGACAGCAGATGTTTAGGTGAAGGATTGACAGACAGACTACAAAAATATGAAATCACCACTGGATCACTTTCAGGGAGCCATGATTTTATCTATGAAGAGACAAATATACAAATGATTATTATTAAATAATTAATTTTCATTCAAATGCTCAATCTCCTTTTTGTCACATTAATGTTACCTGTTCAGAGCAGTGAGCCAGCAGCACTGTCTTTCCCGTGCATGGCCCTCCTGTGATCACTAGAGGGCGCCATTGTTCATTTTGCACAAAGTTTCGGATCTGCACCACAAAACAACACAAATACGGACCTTTAATTGTAGCAAAATACATATTGTGAATGCCAGTGCAAAAAAAAAATAAATAAAATCCTTACATTCTCTTCTTCAGGACGATAAATTTCATAACACTGAGAGATGACGTTGCACAATTCGTCCTGCTCTAACTGCTCCCTGGCAAATGCATCACTTAATAGAAGCTCAAAAGAGATGTTCAAATGTTCCGTCATCTTCTCAAGGTCAGAGGTCACCTGGTGGCACAGGGAGTCGGTATAGCAAGTTCTTCGGGCTGGGGTGTAAGAGAGGGGACATTCAGTCGTGGTCGTGTAGACTTGGAGGTTAAACGGTAAGACCAGACTGAGGAGGCTGTCACATAAAGCTGTAAGTAACGCTTCAGGAGTGAGGAGAGTGGACATGGCAGAATCCTGTAAATACACAATAGAAAACATGGTGAAAGCAATTGTTTTCTGATGATCTTATAATGTTGTTTCCTCATCAAAACCTAGAGTTGTGTTTTGTCTCATTCACACATGTTTAACACAAATCCTGCATATTTATGCTGAGTTCTTCTCTCAAACAGAAAACATTCTATTCCATCTTGTGCTCTGCCTTTGTGGTAAGACAAGAAGTGCTCCACTGTGTTTTTAAACTCTCACGAGACTCATTTGGATTATTCCAGACCTGGAATTGTCAATCTCTATTGAACAAAAGGTAAAAAGTACTTGTTAACTTGAAAACTAAACTAGCTCAAAGTAGACAGAGAAATAATGCAGGATTACTCAAAGATATGTGAATGAGACAAAACACAACTCTAGATATGTTTTTGATGAGGTAACGTATGGCTAACATGTTTTAAAGGCCACAAGAGTCCATTTTGCGTAATATACACAGCAAATTCAAAAGTGTTAAATTCACGGTGTTGGTGTTGTTGTGAGTAAAGTGAAGAAAATCCAGATATGTTTCAACATATTCAAGAGCTATTTCAACTATGACAGTGCTGTAGAGTAAAATAAGTAGTTATTGATTCACAGTGTTAACGTCAAACATTTAGAAAGTGTCTATTTTGACTCTACTACATCAGGGTTGGACTTTTGTGACGTTTCGAGCGGGAGAGCTACGAGAGAGAAACCACATTTCACCATCCGATGCTAAGATAAGCAAAGAGCGCAAAGATAACAGCTAATAGCGTTTGTTTTTCAGCAGAACCTGAAGTCAACGAGCCTCAAGTCCAAACACCTGAACTCTCACATGCCCCGGGTCAGATTACTTTACCTTTTTAGGACACTCTGCAGTTAATTTAATTCATAAAAATACTAAATATAGTATTGCGAGGATGAAACATGAAATAGTATTTATGTCTGGTATTTTCACAGTGGGAAGAAAGTACAATATCTGTAAATAGTGACTCAAGTAAATGTATTAGGTCATAATACATTACGCCATTGTAATGCTAGTGACACCTGTCCTGCACTCAGTGTATGTAACATGATGATTTAGGACAGTTATGACATATTTATGACCTATTTCAAGTGATAAATACAAAAATGTTGGCGGTAAATTAATGTCTCCTACGTTTATTTCACTGTTGTCTCCTATTGTCCGGACAAGTCACGATGCCGAATCAACACTGGTGAGCGGGACATGTCTCTACACATGCGTCAAATGCAGCGAGCGCGCAAACGACGAGAAGAAGTGTCTCAACAATCTAGGGTTACTTGAATTTGTTATATTTATTCTATTCTATATTTTATTTTACAGATCGGTAGGGACACATTTCTTGCTGGTTGAGCCTGGACGGCCTTTCTACCTGGGACTGAAGTAGGAAGGACAAAGGTTTTTTATGTCATCGTTGACCCTGGCTGAATTTGGTGAACACTTAAAGCACTTGGTTCTTAGACTCTCACAAACTTTACACCTGTATTCAAAGAACTGTCTACAACATGGATGTTGGATTTGTCAAAATAAACCCCAAGGGTGAAAGACTCTTGAGGTAAAAAGTTTGGCAATGTTAATGTTTCATAATTAGCAGGACTGCGTCTATTGTGAACATTGTTATGTTTATATAATGGAGAGAAGATCTTGTTTCAAACAGTCAGACATACTCCTCTTTTTTTTCTTTCTTTTTTTTTCTTTTTTGGAGATGAGCATGCCTGAATTTCATTCAAAACAAGATCTTCATTCATCCATGGAGTGCTTGCATTGAAAAATCAACTTTAAAAAAATAAATGACAATCATTGTGACCAATTGTTGAGGGCACAGAGAATTCCTGCTGTCAGTTGGATTTTGCAAAAATCCACTCGAATTTGCTGTGTAGAACCTTTAAGGCCATATGAAGCAATGTGGATGTGAATTTTTCTTTTCTATGGTCAGTGGAGTGTATTGGTACTGTGCTTTGTATGAAATTGTGTTTGGATGTTGTCTATTTTCATTGTGCCCCTGATGTCCAAGATACATTTTTGTATTTGGGGACAATATTATCCATAAATAAATCTAGTAGCTACACACCATATTGACCTGTAACTTTGGCTGGTGGTGAGACTTGTCCTTGGCACTGATGATGACTTTGTGGATGTAGATGAGACAGCGTCCACTGATGTCTTTGTGACCATTGTCTTCCAGTGCGTACCGCAAATCTACATCTAGGGCTAAAGTAAAAGCATATCGTACATTAGAGCTGATGTAAATACATTCACACTACCATAATGACACATTGCTCACTTGATCTGCAGTAGTTTTGAGCTTTCTCTGAAGTCATCTTCCCATTGAGGACGCACAGATCAACAGCAGTCTGAAACACGTTTTTACACGTGGCCTGTTCATTTGAAGCCTGTTAGATATAACAGAATTTGTTTTCAGGCTTTTTTTTTAATTTTCCTTAATGATATGTAACTTTTCAGCTTGTCCCCATGGAGATGTTCGTGCTTTGCCTAAAATGTTTCACAGTATGGCTTTAAATGTATCTGCTACAAATCTCAAAAGCTCATAGTAATAATGCATGTTTTTCAAGATTATTATTTTTTATTTTATTTTTTTTTTATATACCAGTAAAAACACCTGTAAATGTGAGATTAATACTGTACAAGAATCAAGGGAAACCAATAAAATTTCCATGGAAACAAGAAGGTGACACTCAGAGATCCCTCATTAGAAAAGTTACATAGTGCAACTTTAGTACATTTGTTTCAATAAAGCTATAGCATAGACACACTATTCTGCAGTATTTTTTGCAGTAGGCCTATACTAAAAAAGTTGGAGAAGTTGAAGGTATACGCAATTTTCTAAAACTTATATAGTTAGATAATTTTTTCTGGAATTCTAATAAAATGTTGCTTCAATTAGACCTGAGGCTGGAGGCGGTAGGAGGGCGGGATGGAGTTCTCGTCTCGGGTGTAGACTCTCTCCAGCTCCGCAGTGCTCAGCCCGGCCCGCTGGCTTTCCTGTAGCAGCATCTGGTACTCCTGCACCTCCAGCTGACAGGGCAACGCAGCTACCCCATACTCATGTCCAACCAGAGCCTACAGCGCCCCCAAGAGGAATTACTTTTAAATACAAGTAGGCTATTAAGTGTAATTAAAGAATTCATACCAGTAAAAATGGACCAGCAGAACTCTCTCTGCATTCTTTGATCATCTGTTTTCTGCTTTTCTCATCTGGCCATTTACTGAGATCAGGAGATTCAAATGGGTCAATGACCTGCAACACAGACAGACAGGTCTAATAAGAAATGCATTGCAATTAAAATATGCAAATGAGGCAATATTACACAATAAGTAGCCTTTATTAATTACCGATCTAAGTGAATATAAAGAGTTAGTCTTTTGTAATTTGACACAGCAGCATAAAGGGTCAGGTTACATGCTTTGACAAATTAAAACAAGCAAAATGAAGAGCTTTAACATCAAACTGACCAGTAAGTGGTTTATTTTTTTAAGTATTGGTCTGTTTATTCACCAAAAGCAGATCACAAAGTTTAGTTCTCCTCACCCTGACATCCAGACCCAGTGTGTGTCTGCAGTGCTCTCTAAAACTAGAAAAAACTCCTTCTCTCAAGGCTCTGCGCTCTACCACACTGTCTGCAAGAAAAATACAAAAAGCAAAGTAATAATCAAACTAATAAAATAAATAATAAAAGTTATTGTCACTTACCCTCAGGGTTGGAACTCAAATAAATTTTGACACAAGAGGAGCTACTTCTGGCATCCATGGTCATCTGTCAACCCCGACTTCCAGTGTCTCAAGAGAATAGTGATACAAATGTAGAATAAGAATATGACTGTCCCATTGGTTTACTGTGGGAAGTCTGCTTCAGTGCTGTGCTCCTCCAGCTTCACTCAGGAAACTGTGCCCTGAGCTGTTTATTCAGTTAGTGTAATCACACCCATACATGCCCCGCTCACACGCACTGTATGCAAACACAAGAGCTTTTTCAGATTTTTTAATTAACATTTGTACACAATAAATACAAACTTTTTATACAGCCAATAATATGCAGATAGACATGTACACCTGCTCTAATTATTATCACCATGGCAACAGTCTGAGGGGAGGAAAGGCCAGTTGTTCCACCACATGGTAACAACAGCATCTGCACAGCTGTCCAAATGAATATCAGTATAAAATTATTTCATATGAGAGCATTTGTGGAGTTTGTAAATGATTTAACACTGTGTGGCTTTAGAAAGGACATGGTGGTGGCAAAAGGTTACAAAAAACTTAGTATAAATTAATACAACAAAGTAGGGACGTCGTGTTGTAAATTTCTGTAAACCATAAACTTCAAAACAAGTTTGAAACTATTATAAATCAGATCTCAGGGAGATCAAGGAGAGGCTGCCTGGAGCAGAGGGAGGGGGCATGGGCACAATGATGTTTGACCAAGCTCCTGTACTTTTCTCCACTCTTCAGCCATCTTCAGTCTTTGAGGGCCACTTTGAGCTCCTTGAGGTCCATATTGCAAACTAGCATCTCTATTAGAAACAAAGTTAGAAATGCAAGTCTGTGATGCTGAGGCATAAGCAGCTTTAGTCACTTTAAGTTGATTTTAAATGTGACTAGTTTAACACAGCACATCTTGTGTGCTGTGTTAAACTAGTCACATTTCAAATCAACTAGTTTAACACAGCACACAAGACTTCAGTGTTGAAACTGTGCACCATTGGACCAGGCTTCTTTAGTGACTCAAACAGACAACATTTGTTCCTCTCGTCTCGTCACACAAACATACACCAATATCTTATTTCAGACCAAAAACACATCCACCCGTAATTTCAAATAAATGGTCAATTAGTTTGTTCTTACACGTTTAGGAAAACACCAAATTACACCATACACAATGATCTCATTCTCTTCACAAGAGTAGAGGATATAAAAATGATCAGTCACACTGAAACTAAAGGATCTGCCACAACATAAGGACCACAGAAAAACTTCAAGAGACTTAATAATTATGTTCTGTGTATTCTTATGCTCTGTTGTAGTACTGCTACTTTTACAGGAGTTACAAATAAATAAAAGTGCTACACGGCCCTTGTAGGTAGGGAGCTTAAAGGCTACAAGAGCAAAAGGAGGAAAATGTCAGAATTGTACTTGCGCCATTTGAATGTCTTTTGCTTTTGTTTTAAGCTTGATGCATTATTACAATTGTATAGTTTTGTTGTATAAAAACACATGTAAGAAATCTCTGTTTGGATATATTAAACACAGACTGTGTTACAATAAATGAAATGTATTTGAAGATGTACAAAAGCTTTACATGTAAATCTGATCTCAAAAATACCAATCACCGGCCTCCAAGCACTGACTTTAAATATTTCTTTGTCTTAATACCCATACTGCCAAACACTTGAGTGTCTCTGATATAATTTCCTTTCATAAACACGCAATGTTGTAATGTTGTGTATGCATTTATACGACCACCAATGATTCACACGAGGAGAAATAATGAGCTCAGTTCAAAAGGCAAAGGTAGAGAGGACAAGGAAGGATCCAGCCTTCCTCTTCCCTCTACCCTAGAGTGACATCTCCCCTTTAACATATTTACAAATGCCCTTTAAGTATATGAGAAAAGTACATACCGGACATCCCATTTGTGTATATGAAACGCTGTGTATAACATTCCTATGACAGTTATGGTTTGTACTAATACATTGAGTACATAAGGACTACTGTATATAATATGGTGAGGGAGCCACACTGGTTCCAGTACGTTCCTTCATTTTTCAAGTCTTCCTCTTGTCTTCAGTGTGCTGTGTTTTGCTGCCCCACGAGGTAATGCTTTAAGGCAAGAACAAAAGGAGAGAGATAAGGTAGAGACTAGGGGGGAGGCTACTTCTGCACTGAAGAAGGTATATTTGAAGGATGGAAATATCCGCTGCTCTCATCAGCTCAACAGAGAAGATTTTGTTCATTTTATTGTAGGTCCCATCATGTCTGTTCAGTTTGATGTGTGTAGAGTCTGTCAGACCAGTGTGATCTCCACCTCTTCTGTTTTGTCATTCTTGTCTTGCTGTCTTCGCGCGTGTTGCTTGGGGGGAGGTGGAGCAGCGCGCACCTGTAGCAGAGGAAACGATTAGTTTACATTCATTAAAGGCAATGGGGAAACGGATGCCATATTAGCTGTGTTCCTGTTAAAACGCTTATATTACACCATTTTTTATGTTATAATGTTGTTTCCTCATGTCAAACACACCAGGAGTTGTTTTGTTTTATTCACACATATATGTAAAACATAAACCCTGCCAACAGAAAACACTCTGTTCCACCTTGTGATGTATTGTGATAATACAGGAAGTGCTTTTAACCTCCATACATCTTAACTAGAATCATTTGAATTATTTCACCCTAGAATTTGCCAATTATTTCTGAACAAAACACAGATGGAGATGGAGATGTAGAGATTGACACTAATAATAAAGGGTTACTTAAATATGTGAATGACACAAAACACAACATTAAGTAACAACATCATAACATTGATAAAAGCTCACATGACTCAATTTTTATGTAATATAGGACCTTTGAATAATAATGTTTATTTTTCATGAGGGATTATTATAAACTTGCACTTCTAAAAGCAACAAAACAATTACTGGTTTCAGCTGCGTTTTTTTGGCAATGCAGTGTGAGGAGATAATTCTGCTTTCTATTTGGATAATCAGAAGCAAAACAGAAATGGTTAATATTAATGACTTTTCTGCAATGTAAAATGTTTTTGTAATTGTGAGTACATTAGCATTTCACTTGTTTTCAGTGAAATCTATTCTTTGGTTTGAACATGATTAATTACATGATTACATGAGTATCCATCCAGTAATTCTATATATTGTCTTCATTTAAATAAATAAAAAAAATTAGATTAAAAAAACTGTTGCTATACAAATTTTTACAGCTATTCTATCGTTATTAACAATCCCTTTTCATTTTAAAATCAATAAATATTGACAGTCCTATTATATTGTAGAGTGTAAAACCTCATTGTATACAACACTATGGCAGGAGGAATGTGAGACCGCATTTAGTCTGGCCACAAAAATAAAGGCGTGTGATAAACAGTGAGTGACTGCAGTCTGTTTATTGACTCAACACTCACTGGTCGTAATTTGCCTGGACCGCCTTCAGATGTGAAGCGAAGCGGCTGAGTCTGAGGAAATCCTGGAGACACTGGACTCCGGCCAGAACTTTGATCTGTTCAACAAGAGGATTTTAGTAGTTTAAGAGATACAGGATAAATGGCGTAAATCCTTGGTGAATGATTTGATATATGAAGTCTTACTGTGGGAGGATAGGGCTCCCTTGTGTGACGAGGTGGGCAGCGGGGGCTTGTGTTCTCCATTGAGGGCAGTAGACGGCGAGCGCGGTAGTGGAGGAGGAGTGGAGGTCTCAGGGCTGGTGAAAGGGCTGATGGGAGGTTGATCGTACAGTGGAAGAGGAGGCAGGCAAGGAAGCATTTTTGCACATGGAGAAATCTACAACAAAATGAAATAGAGGTACAGTTCTTAACATGTAAACAGCTTTTAGTAGGTGCTCACTTAATCACACGTTCATGAGTGTTTTGTGTTATGTCTCTGGCCTCATAGGAAGGGAGAGGTTGTATCCTTCCTGCTCCTTTGCTCCAAACAGGGCAGATCCCTATGCCACAGATAAGGCCTCGGACACTTGATTACAGTGTAGTTTTTATCAGGAACATGGCATTTGTGATCTAATGTCTGAACTCTGCTCTGCTGAGAGACACACTCAACATGGAGCAGGAAGGAGACGAGGAAGGGGGGAGAAAATGTAACATGCATAGACTGTTAGCAGAAGTATGTGCTTGCCCGGGGGAAAGGCTGATAAGACCAGGGAAATTTAGCTAAAGAGAGAGAGAGAAAGAGCAGAGTACGGATACTTACAATAATCTTGTTTTTGTTATTTATGCCTTTGCTATAGGGCTGGGCAATATGGTGATAAAGTCCAATCGTGATCTTATCCCTGACCATCTACTACTTTAGAGAAATTGTCATATTGTGATTCAGTGCTTCTAGGTTTAATTCAACTAAGATTAAAAGACGCTCCTCACCCTCTCTTTTCTTTCTTCCTACTGGCCAGTCTCCATGATGCTCTGAGTAAGTCAAGGTGGATTTAACCAACTAAAGTGTACACTCAGGATGAGCAGCTCACTGTAGTTCCGTCGTAAAGGCAATGTTAAGATAAGTTTACATGAATCGTCATCAAATGGAAATAATTATTTTTTGTTGCCTCTTCTCTGTCCACTTAGTTGTTACTTAGTTTGGGTGATAATAGCAGATGCTCAGTGGTTAGAGAGACCTCCCACAAATCCAAAGGTTGGGGCTTTGATCACAGCTGTGACCAGTACTGTGAGTGTGTTCTTGGGCAAGACACTTCACACACCTTGCCTGAATGTAGCTTATAGTATAGTAGTAGTTTAGTAGTGTGGAGAGTGAATAAATAATTATTGTCCCCCTGTGTTTTGAGGAGCTTGGCAAGCGCTATATAAACACAAATAAATATGTACTGGCAATGAGATGTTAGTGTACCTGTATGTCCCCAAGTCCACTCCCACTGTGCTCTCCATTCTCATTCACATCCTCCACCAGGACAGAGGGAAACACGCCCACCCTCCCGTTCAGCTCTCCCTCCCAGAAGCCATCATCCGTCTGTGTGTCGCGGTTCAGCAGACGAATCACTGCTCCCTCTGAAAACGAGAGCTCCTCATCCGCCTGGCCCTCGTAGTCATAAAGTGCACGCACGTAAACCACTGCAGATGGGACAGGATAATAGTATGAGACAGCAAGAATAAGTATTGTCACTGGAATGAATCAAATGTACAAATATAAACAAACCCCATAAACCACTATTTACTGTTACTTACTGTTAGTGTCTCCATTGATGCAACCCAAGTGCAGCTCTGGTTCAGTTG